AAAGAAAGAAAGAAAGAAAGAAAGAAAGAAAGAAAGAAAGAAAGAAAAAGAAAGAAAGAGAAAGAGGTGGAGTGATCTTCCAGAATGAGGTTGGTGGGTAATAATGAAGAAGTCTAGAGCATCAGGAGCAGAAGCCCAAAGAGGAGTGAATGTCCACTAGCTAATCAAACACTTATGTTTCCATGCATTTTATTTTTTTAAATATTTTTCATTTAAGCTTATGAGTTACTTTCAAAAACAGAAGAAGCACAGACATAAAAACCATCTAATTAGAATTATTTACATTTTAAAAGAGAACATATACTTCAGCAAAAATAACAGTAATAACTTACTGTCACTGATTTCTTTTTCTGCATATATAAAAGTTCTGTTAACATGCACTTTTAACGTGGCCTTCCAGAGAGAGGTCTTAATACACACTTATTGATTTGAAAGCTCTTTTAACCCATTAATGACTTCAACAATGAGAGTTTCCAGATAGTAAGAGCAATCTAAGGGGCAGGTAGCATCTTTAGGCAGCTTCCATTGCCCAGACTAGTCCTGACAAAGATTCAAGAAATCAGCCATGAAGGTCCCAGTATATGCTTTCCCATCCCCACTTTCTTTGTGGAAAGAACATTGGGTATGGAGCCAGAAAGTCTGTATCTAAGTCCTGACTTTGCCACTAACTTTGTTACCTTGTGCATTTTATTTAATCTTTCCGATTCCTAGTTTCAGCCAAGTGCCTTGTAAACCTTTAAATACTCTATTAATAGAAGGCATTACCATTATTAGACACAAAGAGCCATGATCTTCCTCTCTTGCCACACGAGAGACACAAAAAGCAGGCCAGCTAGGGAGGGAAAACAAAAGAAGCCAGCCGTTTGCACAGCTGCAGAATACCACCATTGATTGTGAGGGGTTAATCTCTGGAGGACTTAAAATCATTGCTAGATGTTTTTTGTACAGTGCCTTTTAACTCAGGCCAGTTTGCTGTAACTGTTCCAGGTAAAAATCCTTTGGACAAAATGCTCTGGACACCCTTGCTGGGACAAAATGTTCGCTTGAGGCTTGTAACTGCTTGTCATGTGCACCCTGGCATGGCTGGTATGCTCAGTGAGGACAAGCTGAGGACCAGTGGGATGCTTAGGGGCAAGCTAGAAAGCAGTCTCCCAGCCCTGTTAGCAGAGAGTTCAGAAGCCCCAGTGTACCCTATAGGGGCAGCCAGCCTCCAAGGGAGCTGGACCCTGCATGACTAAACTGCCCTGTCTCTGAGTTCAGAGGAAAAGCTCTGCCTGGAAGGCGTTTCTAAACCCAGCAGCTGAGGCTGATCCTTACGAAACTGATCTCTACTCTGCATCTTTCGGCGTGGATTAACCCTCAGTCCTAAGGGGCAAAAGCTTTCTGTAGTCTCAGGGATACACGGAGGACTGAACCCCATTACTGCTTTAACCAAGAATCCCAAAAGGACAGTGCTATATATAGTGAAATGCAATGGCCACAGCTAAAGCATTCTCACACATTGCATTTTCATGATTCAATGGGATGTAGAATAGTAGAATGTCTGGACTCGTGTCAGGAGATCTGGGCTCAATTATCAGCTCTGATACTTACTAAAGGGGTGACCATGGGCAAACCACTCATCTATGAAATGAGAGGGTAATAATTGCATGATCTACCACATACGGTTGTTGTAAAGCGCTTTTCAAATTTTAAAGCACTATAAAAATGTGATTATTATTTTTATTATCATTCATTGAGCATACAGTGCCTTTGAGCAAAGCCCTGCGTAGTCTCAGTGATGAACCAGACCTTGACTGAAAGGCACTGCAACAAGGCAATCACTGCTGGTGAGTGGCTGGGACCGTTAAAAACTAGACTAAGAAGGGTAATAATACAGGACATCCAAATACTGGCACAGACAGAAGAAAGTAGCAGCCGTCTACCTCTGTCATTTGTCCTTTGGTGCCCTGCTGTTCTCAGGCCAGGCAGCGTTTGCCAGAATTGCCCTTAGTGAATCCAACCATCCCCATAAAAAAGACAGGAGAGGAAGAGGGGAAAGATGAGATACACATAAAATGACCCGCCCCCAACTTACTCAGGAGACTGTTCACTTTAATCTATTAGATCACAGATTTAAGAGCTGGAATGAGATGAGAGAAAAATCTAGACCAGGGGTCCTTAACCTTTTTTTTGTGTCATGGACTCTTTCGGTGGTCTCATGAAGCCTATGGACCCCCTTCTCAGGATGTTTTAAAATGCATAATACAGTGCTTAGAAAGGAAACCAATTATATTGATATATTTACAAAAAATATTGCAAAAAATAAGTTCCTACACTCCCAGGTTTAAGAATCCCTCTTATTTTAGAGATGAGGAAACAGAACCAAAAATGAAAGTGATTTCCTCATGAGATTGTAACAGTTCATCTCACATTTATACACTCACTTAGGTTTTCCTCAGAACAACCACATGAGGTGGGTAAAATATAAGTGTTATCACTATCTTATCAATGAGGAAAGTGAAGTTGAGAGGTTGAAAAATCTGCCAAAGGTCACATAGACCTAACACCACACTGCTTCCCCCAGCCCAATTATTGTCTTTGTGGACATGGGCTGTTTTAAACACATGGAAAGCACACAGCCAAACCAGGCATGAGTTACCGGCAAACTAGTAACTGCAGTTCAGCTCATACTTAGATCCTCTAAATAACCAGTTCCCCTTCCAACAACAGTGGCAAACCAGCAGACATAGAGTTAACCAGGTATGAGGCAAGGAGGAAGAAACACAAAGCAGGCAGGGATAGATGCAGAATTAATTCTTTGCCTCCTTAACAAAGCCCTAACTGATGGGAAGATGAGGAAGAGGAAGGGAGATGGTCAGATATAGGCAAATAGATGTTCATATTCAGGAACGTACAATGGGAAAGAAAAATAATCCTGTTTGCTTAACAACGTAGCCCTAGAATTGTTGAGTATTGACTTTGGTTTGGTTCCTGTTAGGAAACAGGTGTGGAAACCCACTTACATTTTAACATACTCCATGATGTTGACAGACTTCATTAAAGGTCTTAACAATGGGTTCCTACACATATAATCCTTATCAAATTGCTTACTGTCTCAGGGAGGTGAGAGGGAAGAGAGGGAGGGATAAAATTTGGGATTCAAAACTTTAAACAATGTTAAAAAATTGTTCTTACCTGTAATTGGGAGAGAAATATTATTTTTTAAAATGTAATGGTATGTTAAAAAAACAACAACAAAAAACATGGATGCCTAACTGGTGAAATTGATTATTCTTCCCTGTTCAGATATTACTGGGCATGACATAATTATGAGGTATAACCCCTCTAAAGGAAAATCTCTTCTTTGTGAATGCTCATCATTGCTTTGGGAGAACTCTCTAGCTGTCTGGTTGTTCTAGTCACAGCTGTCCCTTGGGTGATCCTGGGGAACAGCAGCACTGACCTTTCCTTCCTTCCCTGTTTTCTCATCCATTCCATGAAGGTTGGCCATACCAATTTCATACTGCAGAGGGCCGCCTTACGTCAAGGGGAGATAGATAACCGTCTTTTGCCTACCCTTTCGAACCTCTCTGACAGAAGATGCTATCAGAGAGGGGGTTGTATTTCTTAGGTCAAAATCCATTTGGAGCCCAGGAGTGGGCTAGTTGCAACTAGTGTCATTGAGGCAATTCTTGGGGATTTCCCCGACCTACCTTCCTCCCCATCTCCTCACTATTTCCCACAGCACAGGTCAAATTGTGAAGCAAATGAAATTTGCTTTAGTGCCTCCGCTCTCCCACCTCCGTTATTTCCCCTTTGCCCTAACTGCAGATATTGATCTCATAAACTAATTTACATGAAAGTATCAAGGGCTAGGGAACAACTTAAAAAAGAGTCCAACCTCCTCATTTCATAGAGGTTGGGACATGCTTATGGTCACACAGCTAGTGACAGAGCTAAGATAACCCAGGTCGTCTCACTATACCAATTCCCAGGCAAAGGGCAGGTGACTCCAAATGGCTCACCCAACTCTTATATTTGGATACCTTGGATTATTTTAGAGGAAAAATAAAGTCAAGAGGCTGGCGACTGCTTAGGACAACTTTAGTTCCATGACTGTGGAAATACAGGATCCTTCTTTAGACTAGCTTTCCAAACTAGCCCATCACACTGCAATATCCTGGATTTTCTCCCTCCCTTTTGTCCTGTTGCAAGGAGTTTCGTTGAAGGGGAAGTATAGATTGCTGATGTTCGTACATATATTATGTGGAAGTTGTGTTAGAGAAGGCTAGAACTTTTTTTCTTGATTGTAGGGGTGGGGAGAAGTGGCAACAGACAAACCTCTGTCTCTAGAAAATTCACAGGTATGTTACATGCTGGGAAAAGTTGAGAAGCTGCGTTCTCTCATCATCAATATCCATTTTCATCCTCCTGTTGCTACTGCTGAAACTGAGCCTTCTTTGTGTGCCCTGAGGAAAAGGGAGGGCCAACCACGAAGAATGCAAGGCATTCAGAATCAGGGGCTGAGGGCTTTCCCCAGACTGCCCAGGGTGGCTGCTGAAAAATCCAGTAGGTAAATAGGATAAAGGGGTGTGTGTGCATGATTGAGGGGAAACCCTTTTACCCTGAAAAGAAAAATCAAGACTGCAAATAGAAAGGGGGGGGGAAAGCTCTTAAAATCATTCATTTTAGAGCTGTCCTCTTCTTTTTAGCATCACAAACATGATTTACTGGGGTTAGATAATGTTCTGTGACTGGTTCACCCTTTGCAGCCTATAGAAAGATGATGATAGAAAGAGGTGGTAGAACTGTAACTCGGAATGAATGCACCATGTGCTATCAGTGTTAACAATGACTTCTTGTGCTTAACTCTTTCTTTGTTCCAAGGGAGGGTATTGTGAAAAGGGGGATAGTAGTGACAAGTAACAATGCTGTTATTAAAAAAAAAAGAAAAAACACAAATCATCAATGAAACATTTTTTTAAAAGAAAGGGATCATGACCTATAAGCTCTTCTCCTTGGCCAGATCCTTATCAGGCCAATGAATAGAAATGGGGTAACTGAGTGGTCCTCATGATTGAGTACAGAGATAATGATGGATACTCTGGGAAAGGTGCTTCTGAACTTTTTTTCAATCCGGCCTAACAGGAAAACCAAACTTGTGGTTCAAAGAACTATATGTAAACCTAGATCCTGAAGAATGTAAAGTAGTTCAAGGCGCCGCCATCTATGTACTTGTGGTACCTCCCACAGGATGTGATCTGGGCCTTCATGGCTCTCCTCACCAATGCGGTGGAGTTGGCTCACCAGAGATACAGAATCCCAGGGTGGGAAGGGACCTCAAGAGGTCAAAGGATCATAATTTGAAAGCTGGATCCCATGGCCATCTAGTCCAACCCCTTTATTTTAATGATGGAACTAAGGCTCTAGTCAGTGAAATGACTTGCTCAGGGTCATATAGAGAGTAAATATCTGGTGGGATCTGAACCCAGGTCCCGACTCCAAAACACCAAGGCTCTAATCCAAACCAAACCTAAGCAGCAAACTGCTCTGGAACACCTCCAGAGCTCTCAAAAAGGTTCTGAACTTCAAACAGGGAATGGGCTGCCCTGGGAAAGTAGGAGTGGGGGTGGGGTGTGTGTGCTTTTCACTGCTGGTCTTCACACAGAAGCTAAATGTCCTCTTGTGGGGTAGGTTGCTAGAAAGATTCTCATTCAGGTATTCATGGGATGGACCAGATGACTAGGTTTCCTCCAACTGTGGGATTCTGTGCAGTAAAGGTCATCCAGTCTCTGCCTCAAGATTCTCCCTGAGCAGGACAAGATGGAGTGCAGGGATCTGGGCCCGAGATAGTGGCCCATGCAGTGGGAGATCAGTATGAAAGTCTGTAACTTAGGGTTCCAAAACGGTCTTGCTGAAAGAGATGCTTACCCACCATCTTAGCCCCAAATAGGGACTAGGACGCCCACCTGGCTAGAAATCCCCAGGCTGAGGCAATAGGGCAGCCTCCCAACAAACTTACTTCACATACTCTCCCATGTTTCTGAGAGAATCTCTTACGTTGCGCAAACTTGGATGCGGTGCTTACCCCTAGGAGGGGGAATCGGGTGGGTAACTACATTATTCAAATGTCTTTTATTTTTAATGTCTTATAAAAAAGAAAAAAAGGGGGAAGAAAAAGTCTTTAGTGCATGTGACTGTCTTGTCCTAAATGGATATATGGTAGCCTTCAGGAGTCTTCACTCTTCAGTCTGGTCTGGTCTGAGTTGAAACTGGAAGTGATGTTACTTGATGGTCTTGCTGAGGTTTGAGAAGCCAACTCCCACACATGTCATCAGTACTTTCTCCCCTCCCTTGAGTTCTTCACCACATGGCTTAGTTTCAATTTTGAACATGATTTGGAAGAAACTCTTCAAATGTCGCAAAAATTCTATTCTAAAAAAGGAAGGGGGAGCAAAATGAATTTTTTAAAGGATTCTCTTAACCCTCCCACCCCAGTTTTGATTCTTTAAAAAGGAGACACACAGCCCACCACCCTCCCCTAGGCACGCTCTTTTCTGAACCTTTGTGTGTGTGTGTGTGTGTGTGTGTGTGTTTGTTAAAAGTTTCAATCCCATTCCCTGGTGGCAAAAAGATAGCCAAAATGTTAATAGCAAGAAGGAAGGGAGAAAAAGGTGGAGCTCAATAAGCCGTCACCTTTGAAAAACTGGTTCCATTTAGAACATCAAGAGCTGACCAGTAAAATCTTAATGTAACGCAGGTGAACCAAAGTGAAGGAGAGCAGGTATAAATAGGCATGAGAGGTTGGGGAAAGGCATCACTGAGCATATTTAGGACCAGAAAAGGAGATGGTTATCTATGTGTTATCCACAGCTAGAGTGGATAACACATAGATAACCCAGGTGCCACATCGGTATCCACAAAACATTTACAAGAACCAGTGGAAAGCATCCAGGGCATTAGGGAGGTTTTTTTTTTCTTTTTTCTTTTTTGGTGAACAGCAAGCTCTTAATCAATCAACAAACATTTATTAAGTGCTTACTATATGCCAGGCATTGTATTAAGCTCTAACAACAGAGAGAGGACAAAGCAATTACTTCCCTCAGGGAGCTCACATTCTAATGGGGGAGACGCTATGCAAGCAATGATGTACAAACAAGACACAGACAGGATAAATGGGGTGGGGGGGGTAAGCCCAGAGGGAAAGTACTAATATTAAGAGGGAAATAGGAAAAGATTCTTGCAGAAGGTGGGAGTTGCTGGGACTTGAAGTCAAGGAAGCTAGGAGGTGGGGACAAGGAGGGAGAGAGCACTAGGCAGGGAGGACTGCCACCGAAAATGTGGAGAACTGTGAGGTGAGGAACGGCAAGGAGGCACTGGATCAAAGAACATGTGGAATTGTAAGAAGGCTAGAAAAGTGGAAGGGGCCAAGTTATGAAGGGCTTTGAAAGCCAGACAAAGGATTTTACGTTTGATCTCAGAGGTAATAGGGAGCTATGGGAGTTTACTGAACGGCAGAGGGAAAGGTGGTTGCATAGTTAGCCCTGTGCTTCAGGAAACATCACTTTGATGGAGCAGGAAGAGACCTGAAGCAGGGAGGCCCATCAACAGACTATATGCAATAGTCCAGGCACAAAGCACAAAGTAGTGGCAACGTTAGAGGAGAGAAGGGAATTTATATGAAGGATAGCAATGATTGTGGACTGACCAATGTGTGCATGGACACGTTGCAACACTGTCACCCCAGCCATCCCAATGTCTCATCCTTCTGGGTCCTTCTCACCATTATCCTAGCTCATGACCTTTTAACTAGGGCCATAAAAATGTCTGTTCCACCCCCATCCCCACCACCTAACCCCCAAACATACTTGTGGGCAAAACCTCTAGCTGATGGGCTAGCTCTGTGCAAAGAGACAGGCTCATCTTACCCACTCATCTGTATTCTTAGGAGAAAACAACATGTTCTCTCTCTCCCCTCTTCCCCTACTGCTAAAGAAGCGATTTCCAAGGGCACAGCTGGAGTACAAACAGCTTGCTGACTGTGCTCCCTGCTCCCCCGATCCTCACCCAACCAGACTATTTAAATCTGATTGTGCTACAGTGTGTGCTCTCCTCCGAATTTTCAACCGGCCTTGAACACACCCCTTCTCTCGTTTAAGAGAGGGGGTGTGTGTGTGTGTGTTTGGGGGAGAGGGAGGCACCAGGGATCTGCAGCCGCCTTCTTCTTCTCCTGGAGAGGGACAGGAGAAACACACGCTCCAGTGTCTATGCCTGGGTAGCCGTCGCTTTTGGAAAAGCGATGAACCTCCACCAACAAGATGCGGGTTGAAAGAAAACCTGTCCCACTTGGACGGGATGTTCTCCCAAACCCCTCAGCTAGCCTGAGGTAGAACTGTACTGAAACCTTAACTAAGGCACGTTTCACAGAACGCCTTTCTCTGCTCCCCGAAGCCTGGAGTCTGTCTCCCTTCTGCCTGGATATGAAAGAGTTAAAAGACTGTTCATTTTAAATGAAAGGAGAGAAAATACACACATACACACACACCTATCCTATCTGCCTCCCCAAGAAAAAGAAAACCACGAGGTGAATATAACTCACTCTGCTCACATATTAAAAGGAGGGCAGGGGGAGGGGGTGGGGAAGAAGCATAAAATTAAAGCATTGTTGGTTGGTGTTTCTATGTTTACTTGCCAGAGATCTACCCACAGTGGGGCTGAGCCTCCGGGAAGATAGGGCCTCAGAGCAGACCTGCAACTGAAACCAATTTCTAAGAACTTGCCCCTTTCCCCTCCATGCCCCTAGACACAGACACATGTAAGAGATAGCAAGGAAGGAAGGAAATCATAGAGACCCTCACCCTGCCCCTCCTCTCCCCATGCGCGCGCACGCGCACACACGCGTGCACACACACACACACACACACACACACGCACACACACTCTCTTTTCATTGAGTTGAGTCTCCCAAAGCAGTAGAACTGGCTTCTCTTCATGTTAACCCACTAAGAATTTTAAGTATTTGGATCTCCCTTGCCCTTCCTTCTAATGTTATAAAGAAACAGATGTGATCTGCAGAGGTATATGCTAATAATAGCAACAATAATTATTATTATTTCTATTATTATTCTTATAGCAGCAGCTAGCATTTACACAGTGCTTTAAGATTTGTAAAACAAACACTTTACATTTTATCCTCATAACAACCCTGTGCAGTAGGTGCTCCATTTTAGAGATAAGGAAACTGAAGCAGACGAAGTTAGGCAATTTGCCCAGGGTCACAGTGTCTAGAGCAAATTTGGACCCAGGTCTATCCTTACTCCAAGTCCAGTGCTCTATCCAACTGCCATCTAGCTACCTCTCAACATAACAGAGACACTGTCCCTAGCATAAGGCAAATTCTCAGGATAGAGACTGGAGCTGTGATTTTCATAGGTCGAGGGAACTGCCAGGTGATGAAAATCCCTCTACCAAAACAGGTTACCACTTTTTCTGCAACTGACACTCTTAGAGGGCCAGGACCAGAGCATTTAGAGATCAAGTGACCTGCCCAGGGTCACACAGCCAATTAGGTGTCAGAGACAGAGCTTGAACCCAGGTTTCCCTAGGATCTGTATCAAAGTCTTCTGGCTCCACCACACTGCCTCATTTAGGAGAAGAGCTGATCAGCCTGACAAAACATGCCACAGCACATAAAACAGACAAGAAAAGGCTCTTACAGTGGAGGGGAATCGGGGGAAGGTGAGAGGGAATGAGTGAATCTTATTCTCACTGGATTTGACTTAAGGAGGGAATAACACACACACTCAACTGGGTATGGAAATCTATCTTCCCCTACAGGAAAATAGGGGGAAGGGGACGAGAGCAGGGGGATGATAAAGGGGAGGGAGTAATCAGAAACAAACACATCTGAGAAGAGACAGGTTCAAAAGAGAGAATAGAATGGGGGGCGGGATAGGATGAAGGGAAACATAGTTTTCCACAACATAACTACTGTGGAAGTGTTTTGCATGACTATACATGTATAATCTGTATAGAGTTGCTTGCCTTCTCAATGAGGGTGGGTGGGGAGGGAGGAAGGGAGAAAATGTGGAACCCAAAGTTTTAAAAACAAATGTTAAAAATTGTTTTCACGTGCAGCTGGGAAATAAGAAATACAGGAAATGGAGTATTGACATGTATCCTGCCCTACAGGAAAATAGAACAGGTAGGGGATAAGAGAAGGTGGGGAGAGATAGAAGGGAGGGCAGATTAGAGGAAGGGGTATACAGAATGCATGTCATCTTGGGATGGGGGGAGGGTTGAGATGGGGAGAAAATCTGGAACTGCTGAAAACTAATGAAAATGCTGAAAACTAAAAATAAATTAATATATTTTTAAAAAAATGTCATAGACAACATTGGGGCAGTGAGGTACTTCTTATATCCTGCATATCTGGAAAGCATTTTTTCCATCACAGAGCTGCTGTAAGGATCAAAATGAGATAATATAAAGAGTATCAGAAACCATAAAGCACCATCTCAATTATCTTTAGAAGGAGGAGAGTAGCCCAAAGAACCTCAAAGATTCCTTCCAGCTCTGAATCTCTGATCCTCTGAAATCCCCTCTGCAACATACCTGACAAGTAGCTATACAGGTTTCTTTAATGCCTCCAGTAAAGGGCACCAAAAGCATGCCATTTTATTTTTTGGATAGCTAGTGATGCGAGGCCCTTCCTTCTGTGATTTCGTTCCATCTGTACATACCTCCTACGTACAAGCATTGTTTGCATGTTGTCTTTCCCATTTAGAAGGTAAGCTCCTTGAGGGTAAGCACCATGCTTTTGCCTTTCTTTGCAGCTCCACTGCTTGGCATAGTGCCTGGCTATACCACAACAGGCGTTCAATAAATGCTTGCTGATTACCTTGGTAAGTAAGTTTTCTCTTTTAATTTATTTATTTTTTTGGTGAGGCATTTGAGGTTAAGTGACTTGCCCAGAGTCACACAGCTAGGAAATATTATATGTCTGAGGCCAGATTTGAACTCAAGTCTTCCTGACTCCAGGGCCAGTGTTCTATCCACTGTGCCACCTAGCTGCCCCAAGTTTTCTCTTAACAGCAGAAGCTCCTAGTTCTTCATACGGGGGGCCAAGCAGAAATAAAACCAATCAAATCCCCCTTTCGACATGAGTGCCCATTCAAATGCTTGAAGGCATTACTGTGGCCCCATTTCTTCCTCTGCAGGCTGAATATACCCAATTCCTTCCCCTGGAGCCCATTCTGGCTGCCCACTTCTGGATTCATTCCACCCTTCATTCAACAAACATTTATTAAGCCCTTATGTGCCCAGCACGGCATTAAGTGCTAGGAATAAAAAAGGGGCAGAAGACAGTTCCTGGCCTCAAGGAGTCTAGGAGGGGAGACGATCCGCAAACAATTATACACAAACAAGAAACATACAGGAAAAACTGAAGGTAATCCCAGAGCGAAGGCATTAGCCTTAAGGAGGACAGGGAAAGGCTTTTTTTTGCAGAGGGTAAGATTTTTAGCCAAGACTTTGACAATGAAAATGCAAAGACCTGAGGTTGGGGGGGAAAAGGAGATGAGAGAAAAAGAAGAAGGATTTTAGTTAATTGAAAACAAATAATATTTAATTAAAAAAATAACAGAACTGTGTGCCTTACTTGAACTGCCCAGGAGTTGGGAAAAAACTGTACTTTGAAAAAGAGGCAACTTATAGAAAAGCTACTGGAGGAAAAGCAAATAGGCCACTGTCATTGTATTACACAGGATATGCTGGGAAAGAATAAGGCATAAAAAGCCTGGAAAGGTAGGAGGGGGACAGGTTATGAAGGGCTCTGAAAGCTAAACAGTGGGTTTTATATTTGATCATGGCAGTAATATGGAGCCATATGGATTTTACAGAGTAGAAGTGTCACATGGTCAGACCTAGGTACTTTCCAAATTATCACCGTCCTTCCTAAAATATGGTGCCTGGAAGTGAACACAGTTATTTCTATTCCTGTTCCTCTCTAGGAGGCATTGTGGTACCATGGAATAAATGTTAGATTTGGGGTCAGAGGGCAGTTGGGTAGTGCAGAGGAAAAAGTACTGGGCTTGGAGTCAGAAAGATGCATTTTCCTGAGTTCAAATCTGGCCTCAGATACTTACTATCTATATAATCCTGGGCAAGTCACTTAACCCTATTTGCCTCAGTTCCATTATCTGTAAAATCAGCTGGAGAAGGAAATGGCAAACTACTTCAGTATCTTTGCCAAGAAAACCCCAAATGGGGTCATGAAGAGTTGGACACAACTGAAACAACTGAACAACAATTGAGATCAAAATTCAGGCTCAAAATTCTGGGTCTACCACTTAGTGAACTCACTTAACTTCTCACACCTCAGTTTCCTCATCTATAAAATAATGGAGTTGAACTATATGACCTCTCAAGGTTCCTTCCAGCTCTATGATCCTAAGATTCTGTGGCTCATCAGTAAAACACAGAGTGACACTAGAAATTAAATGGCACCTCCTGTAGTCATAAAGAGGTTAACTTTTCCTATCACAAGAGCTTTATCAGAAGTGAATCATAATCTCTTAGAATTGAGAAATTCCTTTGAGCCTTCCATTAATTTAACAGATGAGAAAACTGAACTCCAGAGAAATCAGAGATTTGTCCAAGGTCACCCAGGAAGGGATTGGTTAGCAGAGCGAAGCCTCCAATCCAGGCCTCCTGAGTCCCAGTGCCATCTCCTAAGAATCTGAAAAGGTAACCATGCATTCTAACCCTCAGATTATGCCCCTCCACCCATATGTTTTGTTCCGATTTATTGCAATGTATTATAGCAATGTCAATACCAGGACTTGTGACTGAAATTAAAGTGGCTTTTTAAAAAAACTCTCAAATCATAGAACATTAAGAGTTGGAAGAGAGACCTTTGAAATAGGAGGCAGCATGCTGAACCTGGAGGAAAAGTGGCCTGGATTCAAATGATGGTTCCGCCATGTAGTACCTAGATGACCCTGAGCAAATCACTTTACCAGTCAAATGAAGGGCTTGGACCAGGTAACTTCTAGGATCCCTTCCAGTTCTATGGTCCGATTAAATTAAATTAATTAAATTACCAATTTAATTAATTAAATACCAATTAGATCTAGTAAGAGGCAGAGGCAGGACAGAAAGTTAGAAGTCCTGACTTCCAAAGACCTTTTCCACTCTACCTCCTCTCTGGTTTCTCTCTATAGTGTGATTAATACATGTCCGGTCTGTTAGACTCATGCTGAGGGAGCTGGCCTGACATCATTTCCCTATCCTCACTCCATGCTTAAAAATAGCTAGCATTTACATAGCACTTTAAGGTTTACAACCTGCTTTACAAATATCTCCTTTTATCCTCACAACAACCCTGAGAGGTGGGTGCTGCTATTATTATCCCCATTTTACAGATGAGCAGACAGAGGCAGACAGAAGTCAGGTGACTGGCATAGGGTTAAGTGTCTCAGGCCAAATTTTGAACCTGAGTCTTCCTGACTCCATGTCCAGTGCTCTACCCACTGTGCCACCTAGCTACCCAATAACACACCCCAAAAACCCCATTCCAAGCCCATAAAAGGTACTCTAAATCCCTTTCCCACCCCCACCCACCCCTTTTCAAGTCACTTCAAGAGCCCACTCCTATGGAAGAATTTAGCAAGCTAAGGTTGCTGTGCCTGAGGGTACAGGGTCCAATGATCCATTTTCTCTAGGAAACAGCAGTGTTATGGTTCTCTTTCTTTTTCTCAGTATTTCCCCTCTCTCCCTCTCTCTCTCTCTCTCCTCCCCTCTTCTCTCCCTCATGTGATGGCACCACCATTCTTCAGTTATCACAGTACTGTACCTTTCACATATACAGCATCGGTACCATGATAACCGAAAAAGGACAGTTCAGTCTCATCTCTACCTCCTCTGCTGGCCAGAAATGTAACCACAAAGGGGGCCTTGACTGGGGGTGGGGGGTGGGGATATCTATCTGTGCACAATGTTTTCGTCACTCTGGCAGGCAAACGGTTTTCAGGAGCTCTCATGCCCAATTATTAAATAAGAAAAAGCTTCTCGGATCATGCTTTTCGCTCAGCCGTCTTAAAGGTCCAATTGCATACAAACCGGATGTCCAGACGTTCTCTTTGTGACCCAAGTCAGAGGTGAGGACTGGAAGAGACCCCAGAGATCACCCGGTCTGACCCTTTGCATGATGGACAAGAAAACCGAGGCCCAGCAAAGGGAAATAACACACCCCGAAGGTACACAGGCAACAGAACCAGAACTCAGACCCTCGGATTCTTGTCTTCTTTTTACTATGCATTCCTATTCCTTTACCTCTTTATGGTGATTACCTGTTACCTATCTAATAACTTACTTGCACAGCAAGCTCTTCTTTCATCTTCCTACTACAAGACTAAGACCGTCTCCTGCAAGTACTTCACTTTCTAGCTATGGAAACTGAGCCCTGGAAAGGGGGTATGATTTGCCCAGGTAAGACACAGGGTTGGAGTCTGTGCCCAGGTCCCACTCCAAACCCTTTACTTCCTCCGACACACGGTGCTATCCAGAAATATAACTGGGAAGTTTTTTACTTTGAGCACCATTTTCAACTCAATCATGCCCTATCATCTTTGGCAAAAATAAAGCACTCAACATGTGTCCCTTCTAGCTGCTGCAACTGGGTCATTGGCAGAAGAAAGGGGAAAAAAAAACAATAACCCCACAACAAATAACCAACAAATAAGCTATAAGACACAAATGTTTAACCCCAAATGGAATAAATACAATCAAAAGGCAGAGATTAAAGGATCCATACCCAATATGGGGGGTTACTTTAATTGGTCCCAAATGAAGATTACAGCTGGGAAAGAAAGAGAGTGAGCTTCCCATAGGTAAAAATAAACAGCGACTGAAGAGTTCCCACATTTAGTTCACTTAAGTGTCAGAGGTACAGGCAGTTCTGCACATGGTGACGAGCTATGCTCAGTACAGTAACTTTGTCATTTGGTACAATTAGAAAAATAAACCAGCTCAGCTAGCAGGGCTCAAGAAAACAACTTACGTGTAGGGAGACAGCGGTCCTAGCAGGACTTTGGAAACATCCTGCTGTCCAAGGGTCATGAGGAGCAGAACTAAACTCTGGTTGGTGGAGTCCACACAACCTCCCTGTCAACACAAACATTTTAATTATTAATCTTTGTACAAACCAGAAAATGGAAGCCACCCCCACCCCCAAAGGGAGAGATAAAGCAGGAAAAAGAGAAACATTTACCAGGAACAGGGGAGCCCATAAAACACCATATTGCATTGGTCAAATGCTAATAAAATACAGTGCAATTTTGTAAGGGGAAAGCTTATGTAATCTAGCTTTAAGGGTACACCCTTTATCAAGACCCGTGCAACAGCTAGGGATAGGCAAATGCTGTTGGTAATTAAAACAGCAAGACAACATTTTATTGAGTACAGCGTAAGCCAAAAGCATAATTCAGCACTAGGAAATCTGGAGTTAATTACTAAAGGTTCAGTCCATGGCAGAACAAAGTGAGCCCTGTCTGGTAACAGGACTTGACCTTCTGCACTTATTCAAATGTAGCCACAGAAAATTTGCTATGATATTTGTATGAATTTTTCCTTCTTCATCTTTCCTCTGTGACTTGGTCTGAATCTGTGATTTCATCAATAAAGGCAACTCCTAGTGTGGAATCTTCCTCAAAAAGCTCCCATTTGTAAAAAAAATAAAAAAAATAAAAAAAATTCATAGCAACCATTTAAAAATATCAATATTATCTTCTTTTTATTGATGTCTTTTGTTTGTACATATTTGTTCTAAATAGATCCTTCTCCCCTTCCCTTGTACAAACCATCCCTTGTAACAAAGATGAGCAAAGAAAGGGGATGAAACTAACCAACAGATCAATTGTGTCTGACAGTATATGTGATACGCATCATCAGAGTCCCTAACTTCTATAACCAAAGGAAAAAAAAAATGTGTATTTTCTCAACTTCTCTAGACCAAGCCTGGTCATGATAACTGCACAGTGTTGGGGTTTTTTGTTGTTGTTCTTTCCATTTACATTGTTATAATTATTGTGTATGTTGTTTTTAGTTCTGATTACTTCACCCTGCATCATTTCATAGAAGTCTTCCCACAGTCCTCTGAATTCTTCACGTTTTTCATTTCTTATGCCACAGTAATATATTATTCTATTACATTCATCTACTGCAGTTTAGTCACTTACTAATCAATTAGCATCTCTGTTTTGTTTCTAATTCTTTACCACTTTGTACCAGCAATTTTTATTGTAATAACTAAAAGTGGGTATCCATCAACTGGGGAATGAATGGCTGAAAAAATTATAAGTGAATATAATGAAATTATTGTGACGAAAGGAGTGATGACTGTGTGCCAATTCAGAGAACCTTGGGAAGATTTGTATGCACTGACCAAGAGAACTAAGAGAAAAATGCACAAGATTTCTACAATAATAATGTTGAAAGACCATAGAACGCTAATCCACCAAGGGATCAACCGAGTCTTCAGACAACTGAAGCATTCAGGGGATGGTAAAGCATGCACGTCTCCTACTTCTTGGGAGAAAGGTGGTGGACTATAGGAGTAGAAGGAGACATATATTTGCAGACATCCCCAATGTCTCAGTTTGTTTAGTTTGGCTATCCTTACCTGCTATAAGAAAGGATTCAAGGGTTCTACTGGGAGAGGGGGAAATCATTGGAAATAGACAGTTATATAAAAGGAACAGCAATATAAAATCTGAGAAAAAACAAAAGGGAGTGGGGATTGGGGGGGGGGGCAAGAAACTCCCTCTGTGGATGTAGAGCAGCAAATTATCAGTACCTCTAAACCTTAAGTGAGTGGTCCAGGGCATTGAGAGACTGACTTGCCCAGTCACACAACTAATATGTGTCAGAGGCAGAATTTGAACCTGGGTCTTAATTTAATTATGCTTCTCACATAACAATACAATCAATCTTATAGGGTCAGTCAAGTGAAACAATATATGTAAAAACCCTTTGCAAAATCTCAAAGTGTTATATAAATGCAAGCTATCTGAACTTTGTCCAGGGTTTTCCTATCCCACTTAAGTTGTACCTCAGTGGGACTTAAAACACTGGGATTATCAAGATCTATTCTCTTCACTTTTTTCCTATTGATGCATATCTTTCTCATTTTCTAAATTAAAATTTTATTTTCAGATGTGCATTCTTTCTCTCCCCCCTCTCCATCCCCTATTGAGAAAGCAAGAAAAACAAAAGCCCTGTGACAAGAATGAATAATCAAACAAAACAAATTCCCATATTGGCCATGTCCAAACCACGCCCACCAATATCTCAATCTGTACTCCGATTCCAAAATTTCTCTATCTGGAGGTAGATTTCATCTTGAGTTCTCTGGAATTGTGGTTGGTCATTGCATTGATCAGAATTTCTAAGTCTTTAAATGCTGTTTGTTTTTACACTATTGTTATTAAAGTATAAATTATTCTCTTGGTTCTGATTGCTTCACTCTGCATCAATTTATAAGTCTTCCCAGGTTTCTCTGAAACCCACTCCTCCATCATTTCTTACAGCACAATAGTATCTTATCATATACATATACTATAACTTGCGAAGACATTCCCTAATTAATGGGCCACCTCTTCCGTGCCACCACAAAAAGAGTTGCTATATTTTTGCATATAAGGGATTTTTTCCTTTCTTTGATCTCCGTGGAGTATGAGACTTTTATTAGAGAAACCTGCTGCAAAGACTTTTTCTCTACTTTCGTGCTTCCCTTCTAATTCTAGCTACATTGGATTTTTTGTACAAAAACTTTTTAATTCTATGTAACTAAAATTATCCATTTTACCTTCTGTGATCTTCTGTATCTCTTGTTCGGTCAAGAATTTTTCTCCTAAACATAGATGTGACTGGTAATTTCTTTCTTGCCCCTCTAATTTATTTACGATGTTACCCTTTATGTCTAAGCACCCATTAGGAGCTTGTCTTGGTATATGGTGTGAGCTGCTGGTCTATACCTAAGTTTCTGTCAGACTACTATCAATTTTTACGATGGTTTTTGCTAAATAGCGAGTTCTTGTCCCAGTAGCTGGGATCTTTGGGTTTATCAAACACTAACCTACTGTGCTTCTTTGCTTCTGTACAGATATTATGTACCTAATCAGTATCACTGACCAATCTCTTTATTTCTTAGTCAATATTAAATTGTTTTGACGATTATGGCTTTGTCGTATAGTTTAAGATCAATGCACGCCTCCATCCCACCCTCTTATTTTCCATTTCTTTCCTTCCATTTGGGTTTTTCTGAATTCATCCTGGGTGGCATCGGTGGCATGCCTGTATTTGCGTTCCCCTATTTTGGTACATCCTTAAGGAGAGCTCTTGGGTTGTGGGATATATTTTAAGCTGGTGAAGGGCTTAAAGACAAAGCTCCCACCAGTAGGTTAAGGGAGAGGTCATGATGTTTATCAAGAAAAGGTCGACCTCTCTGTTAAATACAACTTCTGAGCCTAGCCTTTATTTTCTTAGGTATGTTTGTGTCATAGAGCATGGACACTACTGAAGATCCCTTTGCCTTTAAACAACTTAATAAAAGCTTTACTTAAAGTGCAGTCCTGCCATTTTGGTTAGGATCCTGCCATCAGAAGTAGCAGCAATTTGCCTGTGGCTCCAGTAAGAGGGACGGGGTTGATGTTAAAACCACACACTCTATTCTCCTTTGTGACCAATGGCATATATTTGTAAGAAAATTCCTCTGGGTCAAGAGCGCATTTTGTCACTGTTAAGACAATTATAATAACTGGCTTTTCCGGGGAACAAGGTCTATGACCTTGGCTACAGCAACACTAGTCTAATAAACTAAGCCCAGAAGGCAAGAGAGATGAAGATGGATGGATGGATGGATGGATGGATGGATGGATGGATGGATGGATGAATGGACAGCTGTTTGCCCCACCATGGTGAAATCTGTGGTTCTTTACAATTCAAGTAGAACATAGAGAACCTGGATAAAGTTTAGTTAGAGAGCTTACATTTACACAGCACTCTAGATTTGCAAAATGCTTTACATATATATTCTCTCATCTGAATGACTGTGAGGTAGATGTTATTATTATCCCAATTTTACAGGTGGGGACACTGAGGCTAAGTAATCTGTCTAGTCATACAACTATTTAAGTGTCTAAGGCAGGATCTGAACCCAGGTCTTCCAGATTTCACTCCCAGCTGTCTAATTACTACACTACGGAGCCTCTCAATGAAGTTCAGGAAAGAATCATAAAGATCAGTGAATTATACAATTTCAGAGGTTAAAAGAACTTTGGAGGTCATTTAGCTCAACTTGTATCTAAGCAGGAATCGCCTTTATGAAATCTTTGACAAATGGTTTAGCTTCTAACCGAAGGTCTCTAGTGATGAATCACTTGTTATTACCTTGTAAGATGGAGATAATAATACCAGTAATATCTATCTCCCAAATATTGTGAGGATAAAATGTAAAAAAATCTATAGCCCCTAAAAGTGCTACAGAAATGTCAGCTGCTCTAATTATCATCAAAGTTATCCCCTCCCCCCAGGCAGTTCATTTCACCTTTGTTAATGGAAGGTGACAAGTTAACCTTCTGGACTTGAGCAGCTTGGAAGGGCTAGAAAAGCATGATGGGAATAAACGTAGTGAGATGCACCCACACTGCCAACCCCCTTCCCTTCTGAAAGGCCAATGACTTACTCTATAAATCTCTTCCAGCAATAGCTTTGCACAGTTCCTGCCAAGGTCTTCAGGGAGCACCGCTGCTCCCTGACCCTGGGGGTTTGAGGCCAGCTCCGCGCTGAGAAAGGTACCATTGGTGGTCTCAGCAACAAGTGAGAGTCCAAAGCCTGGAGACCTGCAAATACACACACACAGAGCACAATTTTGAGTGAGGGTTAATAAAACTGTCACAGCTGTTCTACAGCAAAAGGGTGGAGGACCACCAAGGTCAAATTGTGTTACTCAAATTACTTCCCCTCTCTGGGCCTCAGTTTCATTATCTATAAAAGGAAAGGGTGGCACCAGATGATTACCAAAGTCCCTTCCAGCTCTAAATGCCGTGACCCTTAAGTTCTATATCCCTTTGACAGCACATTCTATCCCAAAGCTACCTGTAGTTACACTGAGTTTCACAATCCATTTTACATAGCCAGGTGTGAAGATCCAATGGATAGATGCCATGCCTGCTTCCCTCACCAGAGAAGCCAAGAATATATTTCGGTCTTCACTTCCCTCCATGAAAAATATCCTCTTATAATTTCCTACTAGGTGGTGCAGTGGATAAAGCACCGAACCTGGAGACAAGAAGATTTATCTTTTTGAGTTCAAATCCGGCCTAGCTTTGTGACCCTGGGTAAGTCATTTAACCCTATTTGCCTCAGTTTCCTTATTTGTAAAATAAGCTGGAGAAGGAAATGGCAAACCACTCCAATATGTCTGCCAAGAAAACACCATATGGGGTCAGACAGAACTAAAAAACCACAGAAAAATAACAGGTGAGGAAACTGATTCACCCACAGCCACACAGATAGTGAGGGAATAGGGCCAAGAGTCAAACTCAGGCCTTCTGATTCATGGCGGTACTATGTTCTTTCTACCACACCAGCCCATTCAGTTTGTACCACTTGGTTGTTTCAGCCCTGACTGTGATCCCAGCAGACTGTGACCAAGGCAGAAATCAGTGCCTGGAAGATATGAGTTCTACTAGACAAGAAGCCACGATTTGCTCAGATCATGATCTCCTTGGCTACATTACAGCAAAACATTCCAACAGAGTGTTTAAAATGATTCCATTCGCCCACAGCTTTTCATGAATAAATCTTTTATCTAACAGGGTGCTAGGCACATAGTAGGGGCTCTATGATACATATTTTTGATGAAGTAAAGGCGCTCACCATTTCAAAGAATCCCTGGAGATGAATCTTTTCTTTATCACTGACAATACACATGTTTTTTCATCAATCTCTATTTCCATACAGTTAAAAAAGCTTTAATATCTAGCACAATTTGGGAAAAGGGGGTGCTTAAGTCCTTGTTAATTACTCGACAATGGAATCCTAGCATACCCTACCAAAAGTCATTAATTGGATCCCCCAAAATACTTGAGGAGAAGTGGTTTCATGGTGGTATGTTTTGTTAGGGGTGGGGTGCATTTGGCAGGGGGTAGAGGGGGAAGGAGAGGAAGGTGACTCCCAGTATGGAAACGACCTCCACCAGTGCAACTTATCTGTAACTTTTAACCTTACAGGAGTGTCTGGGGCCACTGAGAAGGTGACTGCCTTGCCCAGGATGACAAAGGCAAATCTCAGAGGCAAAGCTTAAACATGCAGATAGATCCTCCTGACTCCAAGGCTGATCTACTTCCTATTATTTCATGGTGTCACTTCTAGATTCATGATCAATAATGTTTTAGAATTGCACTTGTAAAACTGTGAGGAAAAAGGGGGAAAATTTAGATCCTCAATTATAGAAAAGACTTTAGAAATCCTCCAGGCCAAGTATTCTTAACTTAGAGCCTGTGAATTTGGTTTTTTAAAATATTTTGGGAACTATTTTAATGTTTCCTTTGTAATCCTATATTTTTTAATTGTATTCATTAAAAACATTATCCTGATGCTATCTACCTCCAGAGAGAGAAGTGATGAACTCTGAGTACAAAGTGAAGTATAATTCTCTCATTCTATTTTTCTTGTTTTAAAAAAATAATATGGCTAATATGAAATGTTCTGCATGATTTCACATGTATAACTGATATCATATTGCTTGCCTTCTCAGTGGGTAAGGGAGGGGTGGGAGGGAGGAAGAGATTTTGGAACTCCAAAAAGAAAACAAGCCTAAAAATAAATAAATAATGAATTTTAGAAGAAAAAAAAAAGAAATGGATGAGGCTTGGTGGGGAAACCATATTATTCTGAGAAGTGGTGTCTAGACTTTATCAGAATGCCAAAGGATCCAAGACATTAAAAAAAAAAAAAAGGTTAAGAACTCCTGAATGCTAGGCCAACCCCCTCATTTTACAGAGAAGTAACTGGGATCAAAGGTGGTTAAAAGTCTTTATTAAATATGTAAGTAACAGAGCCAAGATTAGAACCCAGGGCTAGGGGGACAAATTCAGCATTCTTTCTTCTCACTCTGCCACACTGATATTTAGACAAGTTTTAAAATACTGTTCAACCTTAAAACAAATATTAAACCACATGGTTAAATAATTTTTAAAGGGCATTCATGAAAAAGAAGACCACCCAGGACTTAAGTACTCATGAAACAAATATTTACCAAGAGCCCACCTACCGCCCCGTACAACACTCATGATGATAGATGTGGCCTGTCACTGATGGTGGCTTTGGATCCACCATCATGAGGGTTAAGATCATGGATTAGACACCCAAAAGGTTTTACAAGGAGGCTGCTAAAAAAAAAAGTCTTGGAGCTCAAACAAGGCAGGGAGACACCACCTTCTCAGGTCACCAAGTAGGCTCATTTCTTGCCTAGCAGGAGCACGTGTGTAAGCTGGCCCTGTAACAGACAGCTGAATCAAATATTTTTCAAAAACAGAACTGCAGCTGGTTTGTGGTGGGCCCTCAGCCTTTACCAATGCCAAAGGCCAGACACAGGAGGGCCTTGTTCATTCATTCTCGTCATGCCACTCCTGCTGCCATCTTTCCCTTTCCTTATACTTCTTTCCCTTTAAGAGGCAAATCACTTAACCTCCCTGGGCCTCAGTTTCTTCATCTGTAAAATAGACAACATAGACTCTGAGGTCCCTTCCAGCTTTAAAACTATAATGGATGATCCTTTTTCCTCATCCTCAGCAGAGTTAATTTTTTTTTTTGCCAACAAGGCACTATTGTAATAAAAATAATTCTGTTATTAAATTTCTAATTAAATGAAACACTTATAAGGGCAAGTTGAGGCCAGCTCATAGGGACTTGAAAGCCAATTACTGAATTTTCTGTGTGAGCATTTATACCTCAGAAACTGGCATGCTACAAATCAGGATTTGATTTGTTTTGTTAATGTACATTTTTAAAAATTAATTTTAACTTTATGGAATAAAACAAGCATTTCCATAACACAGTATAATAAAAAAAGATGATTGCACATGAAACTGCAAATCTATTATGTACAACCTGCATATAAAGCCATCATGTAAAATTTTTTTTCTTGTTTTCTTCCCTTCTCTTTCCTTTCCTTCCCACCCTAGAGATGGCTACCGTTAGACACAAATAGGTATATATGTGTGTAAAATTATTTTATACATACTTCTATTTATCAGTTCTTTTGACTGGATGCAGAAAGCTTGCACCCTCAGCAGAGTTTATGCAGCTATAACCTCAGACCTATAGTTATACAGGCTCTCTAGAAGGCATTAAAAATGCTTCTGGATTGTATACCTCCAACAAGTGCTTCCTTCTTCTGGGCAGTTGGACCACATGACCTCTAAGGTACCTTCCTGCTTGGATGTTCTATGTTCTGAGGTCTTCTTAGCCATATTTCCATGTTCTAAGGTGCCTTGTAGCCCTAACAGTCTATGTTCTAAGGTCTCTTCCAATGGTAATATTCTAGGCTTTAAGGTACCTCAGAGCCCTGAGTTTCTGTGTTTTATGCTGAAAGGTGCCTTCTATTTCTGACCTTAAATCATTCTAACTCCTCATCTCCTGCTCAGAAGAGTAGATGGCCCCAAACTGAGTCCCCTACAAAACTACAGGCCAAGGTTCTCAGCTCCTTTTGCCTATCAAAGGCTCCCACTTCACCATGTTCATGGTGAGCAGCTGGGCTGTCAATAGTTATTGTTAGATTGTGGATGCCTAGTGCCTACTTCAAACCCATTTACTGAGTGCTGGGTCCATCTGGATTTGCAGTTGGAGCAGCCATGTTAAAATCCCAGCTCTACCATTTGTGTGACCTTGGACACATCCTAGTCTCCCCCTTTTTCTTGAACTCAATTTCCTCCTGCAAAATGAGCATGTGTAAAATGAAGGGCTGGACTGGAAGATGTCTTTCAGTTCTGAGTTCTATCATCTCAGAGTAGCCAGAAGATGGACTGAAGCTGAGCACCTTTTAAAGGCTACATGAGGAATAAAAAAACCAAACAAACTTAAATATACTTAAGAACTGGTCCCTGCCCTTCAAGAAACTTACAACCTAGTTGGGGAGAGAGGGGATCCTACACCCACAGTTACTAAGCTTCAGAGCTGAAATGCTGACCCAGATGTTACTGCTCCAAGTCCAAGGCTATTCCCACCACTAAGAAATAATATCCAGAGTTTCATTAGAATCAACTGTACAGTTATTTCTCCTCCAGAATGGTCACTGGCCCTGTGATCCTAAGAACTCAGTCAAAATCCTGTCAACAACATTTACCAGCTGTCTAAACTAGGAATAGTCATTTCACATCTCTGAGCCTCCATTTCCCCATCTGTAAAATGGGGATATTCCAGGCATTCCTTTCCTCGTGGGGTTGTTGTAAAAAAAGCACTCTGTAAACCTTAAATATGATAAAAATGATGTATGATTATTGACACTACTGCTAAAAGTAATAAACTATGGTATTATCATATTAATAACACATTATTATTATTATCATTATTTTTACAGCAAAAGTATGGCACCCATCCCCTTGTCTCTACTTACACAACCTCGATCATCTCTCAAACAGAATACTGCGATAGCCACCCAATTGGAAACCCTGCCTTCCTGTCTTCGCCCTCTCCAATCAACCCTACACAGAGCCAACAAATTGATCCTTCCCCCACAAGGATAACCAGGTGTTTCACATCCCTCTTACACCTTGTCATGACTACACCTCCCTATCCAGGGTAAAATATTCAACCTGGCATCCTTCTGCAATATGGATCCCATCTACCTTTCTTTCATGTTACTATTCTCTCTGCCCCCAAAATCACTTTCAATTCAGAAAGAGACGTATGTTCTTGGATACTGCTAATGTAGAAATTGGTTTCAATAGACTATATAGATATGTATTGAGGGATTTCTAAAAATTCTGCTTAATGGGGTAGTAGGAGAGACAAGTTAATTAAAAATACCTGTTACCTGAAAAAGAATTTTTTTAAAAAAGAGAATGAAGGAAAAAAGAAATTACTTTCTGTTACTTTGCACTCACCTAACTTTGTTTCTCCCATATCCCACCAGAAGAACGTAAACTCCTTAAAGGCAATGCCCAGAGCAGTACCCTGTACAGTTTTCACAGATGACCTGTGATTTAATCCATGTAGGGATCACCTATTAAGAAACTTCTACCAATACAGACTGTTAGCCTTGTCTGAATTGTCTGAGGGGCTGAGAGGTGAAATGACCAGGGTCATACATCCAGGATGTTTCAGGGAGACTTGAAACCAGGTCTTCCTGGCTCTGGGGCCAATTCTCTATCCACCACACAACACGGCCTCTCCCCACATACTTTGCACACAGAAGGGACCTAGTCAACAGTTTCCAAATTGATCTGAATTAAGTGTAAGTTTCAAGTCTAAAGAATCTACAAGGGGCAGCTAGGTGGCACAGTGGATAGAGCACCGGCCCTGAAGTCAGGAGGACCTGAGTTCAAATCTGGCCTCAGACCAAACACTTGACACGTACTAGCTGTGCGACCTTGGGCAAATCACTTAACCCTGATTGCCTCACCAAAAAAAAAAAAAAAAGAATCTACAAAGCAAAGCACATCTCATGGCACCAAGCACACTACTGGACTTGGAGCAGGCATTCTTCCTTGCTGCTGCTGCTAGGGACATCTTTGAAAGCTGATTCTGGGCAGCTAAGTGGTACAGTGGGTAGAGCAGCCAGCCCTAGAGGCAAGAGGATCTGAGTTCAAATCCAGTCTCAGATACTTAGTAGCTATGTGACCCTGGGCAAGTCATTTAACCCTGTTTGCCTGCCCCCCAAAAAGAAAAGAAAGCTGATTCTGAGACCAACTTCCATAGATCATGCTTAAGAGACAAGTCCTTCACACCTGTCCCCAAATCTAGCAATTTCAAGCTTCTGACACAAGGAAAACAAAAGAAAATAAAAAGTTAGTGTTTTCAGAATCTTCCCCCACCTTCGAATGGCATTGCAGATACTTACTTTCCAGAGTTGATCCCTTTCATATGGTCGGTGTAAATATAGATATCGGGAATGAATTTGTTAAGGATGCTCCGAGAAGACTCCACGATGCGATTGGCAATCTGAGGCGATACCCGTACAGAGTAACTGAAACCTGAAGTTAAGGAATTGGCTGGCATGGCCCCAGAAGACAAAGGAAGAAAAATAAAAGTGGAGGGGAAGGGGGGAGATGCACAAAAGCAGCACAAAGCCCTGGATTTATTCAGATGACTAGGGTTCAGATTCTGGCTCTGTAACTTACTAGCTGTACGACCCTGGGCAAATCACTTCCTTGACCTGAGCCTCGATCTCCTGCTTGGTAAACCACTGGGATAGGTGCCATGGGGAAAATGTCCAATCTGGAGTCAGCAGACCTAGGTTTGCATCCCAACTGTGTTACCTGCTGGTATTCGGTTTCCTCCTCTATAAAATTAGGGAGTTGGACTAGCTCACAACTCTAAACCCCATGACCTTCCGATGAGTAGACCTGCGCTAGGAGGCTGCAATATCTAGTCTCACCTCACTCCAATGTGGCTCACTGGAATTCCTTAACAAGTCAGGGTCTCTAACCAATCCTTTAATGGTCACAACTACCCTGGCCCTGCCTCCCTCAAAATGACTTCATTTATTTCAGACTATCTTGTTACTAATAAAGAAGAATCCTCTGTCAAACCACTCAGATTTTTAAGAAGATATTCTGTTTTTCATCCAGACTCCATTTCCATAACCAATGAATCTGTCACTTATATACATAAGCCCAAACTGGTATTTTGGCCCAATCCCCGTGGTCCACCCACCCCAGGATTTGGGCTTGGGCTTGCACAACATGTTTAAAGCATGTGGCTCTTTCTACAAGGCCCATCCTTGATGATTCAGGAGTTGACTACTCCAACTGGTCTCCCCTGCTTCTACTTTTTCCTTTCTCCAATCCACCCTATCTATACACAGCTAACAAACTGATTTTTTTTTAAAATTAAGATCTGACCATGTCACTCCCCCTCCCTCATATCTCTCAGTGGCTCCCTACTGAAAGGCCTCTAGGGTAAAATACTCAACATGGTATTTAAAGTCTTTCTCAGTTTGGGATGTCACCTACCTTTCCCTCCTATTGGCGGGATGGTACAGACCTCCAACTTCTTTGCCTTCCTCCCCACCTGCCCATGATTCAGAGGATCTATGTTACAGTGGGCAAGCCACTGGATTTCTCTGGGCCTCAGTTTCCTTAACTACAAGATGAAATTTGATGGGCTAAATGACTTCTGTAGACCCAAACCGTTCTAAATCTGTGATCCTGGGCCAAGAACTGACTATATAGATGGAAGAAATGTAATAAGCCCTCATTATGAGTGCTACTGGGGGAGATGGCCAGACTAATCATTAGAATCATAGATCTGGAGCTAGAAAGGACCAAAGAAGTTATCTATCTCAAAACCCTTAATTTATAGATGAGGAAACTGAGGCCCATCGAGCATAAGCCTCTTGTTCAAGATCACACAGGTAATAAGAATCAGAGGCAAAATTTGAACCTAGGGAAACTGTGTACGATGTTGTTCTTTCTTGTTAACTCAAGGGTTCCAAAATGGTTCAACTGGTATTTTTCTTTTTTAAAAAAATACATCTTGTTTTTAATGATATCTCTTGCTTTTGCATCTCGTTTCTGGATATTTCCCTCTCCCCTCACCAACCAGCAATCTTGAGAAGGAGGGGGGAAGAGAGAGTGAAAGCAAAAAAAAAAAACAAAAAAAACAAACCAAAATAAAACAAAAAACCAGTTCAACAAAACTAGCCAACACATTGACTGTCTGACAGGATATGCAATAATCCACATCCATAATCCTAGTTTAGTAAATAAAGGAGGGAGGTACATTTTTTCTACTCTTTTGCAGGGCCAAGTCTTCCCATCACAGTTTTGCTCAGTCTCATTCAATAGTTATTTTGCAAAACCCTCAATACCCACATCTAATTTTCATTACAAAAATAAAGACCTCAGAGCCAGGCTGATGGAAAGATCTGAATACTGGGTTCAAATCCCAACAATGCTACCTCCTGTCAGTATGATTTTAGGAAAGCAAGTTACTTCTCTGGGCCTCAATCTCCCACATGTAAAGAGAGGGTTCTCTGAAGGCTTTTCTAATTCTGAAAAAAATTCCTGAGACCTCCCTTGGGTGTCTGTTCCCTCTCCAAGTCCATCCTGAACTTTACCAGAAGTACTGGAAGCTAGATTTTATATATACATATCATACACACACACACACACACATATCAAACTCAAACAGAAAATTTTGAAATTGTATTTTTATTTATGTTGTTAAATATTTCCATTTTAATCTGGTTCTGGTGCCACAGGAGTATTGTGGACTGCATGCAGCACCCTTGGGTGCTGGCTGGAATCAGAAAGACCTGAGTTCAAATCTAAGTTCCCAAATTAACTATAAAGAACATATGATGTGTTGGTGGAAATGATCCAACCATTTTGGAGAGCAATTTGGAACTATGCCCAAAGAGCTATAAAAATGTGCATACCCTTTGACCCAGCAATAGCACTTCTAGGGCTATATCCCAAAGAGATCACACAAATGGGAAAAGGACCTACGTGTACAAAAATATTCATAGCAGCTCTTTCTGTGGTGGCAAAGAATTGGAAATTGAGAGGATGCCCATCAATTGGGAAATGGCTGAGCAAGTTGTGGTATATGAATGTGATGGAATACTATTGTGCTACAAGAAATGATGAACAGGCTGACTTCAGAAAAACCTGGAAAGACTTGTATGGTCTGATGCTGAGTGAAGTGAGCAGAACCAAGAGAATGTTGTACACAATAATAGACACGTTGTGTGATGACTAATATTGATAAACTTAACCCTTCCTGGCAATACAAGGATCTAAGACATGTCCAGAGGCCTTGTGATGGAAAATGCTATCTACACCCAAAGAAAGAACTATGGAAGTCAAATTATTTTTTTTTCTCTTCTGTTGAGTTTTGTTTCCTCTTTCTGATGGTTCCTCCTAGCGGTTTTAATTTCTACTTACAACATCACTAATGTGAAAATATGTTTAATATGAATATAAATGTATAGCCTATATCAGATTATGCGCCGTCTTGGGGAGGGTGGTGGGGAGGAAGGGGGAGAAAAATTTTAAACTCAAAAGCATATGGAAGTGATTATTGATAAATCAAAATAAATTAATTTAAAAAAAAGAAGGGGAAAAAAAAGAACACATGATGAAAGATGCTATCAGCATCCAGAGAAAGAACTGATAATCAGAAGTACACATAGAATAATTTTACATATATACACATATGTACACCTATTTGTGCCAATGGTAACCATGGGGGATGGGGGGGTGGAGGGCAGAGGGAAGAAAAAAAAGAAAAAAAAGAAATTCACATAACTTTGTTGTATATTTGAAGGGAATGGCAAGTTATGCACGGTGGATTCACAGTTTGGAAATGCTTGTTTTATTTCATAATTAAAAATAAAAATAATATTTTTTTTTTAAAAAAGGTTATCCATTCTGCAAGTCCCAGCTGTGGGTATAATTCCTCTGAAAAGTCTTTCCTGAATTCCTACCGTGCTCAGTATGTATGGCATTCAAATACAATTCAATATTGTTTCTCAACTTTTCCCATGCATTCATGAATGCGTGTGTGTGTGTGTGTGTGTGTGTGTGTGTGTGTGTGTGTGTGTGTG